ATTGAAAAAAAATGCTGCGATATGTGGATTTGTTTCCAGATTTTTTCTTCAGAATTTTCTTTAAGAAGTCGTACAATTTTTTTTTTTACGAATTCGTGCCAATCACATCATGATTATTTTTGAAAATTCGTTAATCGTAGATTCAGGTCAGGAGGAGCTAAATTTGTCATCAAATTAATGCGACATTTCTTAGATAGACTGTATTATTGGTCCATACATTTTGGCGCAATGTGCATACACACATAAGTACATACAAAGTGGAATTTATGTGACTAAACATTGAAATTTAGAAGTAATAAGGTGGTTCGTGTATGCGTGGCATGTCCTTATTTCGACTAGCCCAATACGTGGCTAGTCTAATATCTAAAGTAATTAACCGATCACAGAATACTTTAAAGCCAATTATTTGGCAGTTAGGGGTGTTGTTTAGGAATTGGTATTGAATTTACTAGAACTGGTAACAGAACAGAAGCTAGCCTAGTGTTGTACTTTCGTGCCATTTGGTTTAGTAGTTTCGGTATTGTACATACACGTGTATGTACATATATTAGGGTGGTCCTTAAAAATATCAGCATCCAAATTTTGTGCAAATTATATTTTTGTTTATTAGGGTGGTCCTTAAGAATATCAGCATCCAAATTTTCTGTACATTATATTTTTGTATATTAGGCTGGCCGTTAGAAATATCAGCATCCAATTTTTGTGTGTAGACACGACATTATTTTGTTCCATGAATAAAATAAAGACATCAACGAAAATTTACAAAAATTATTTTTTTTTAAATCGCAAAAATTCGACAAAATATTGAATTTCACCGGCTATAATTCAGCGAGTTTATGAATTTAGCATATGTTTTATAATATTTGCGATTTTTTTATCAAGATTTTTCAATCCCTTTTTTGTTTAAAATTCCGAAATTTTCTTAGATGTCTTTATTTTGTGCGTAGAAAAATACGAAATTTAGATGTTGATGTTTTTTAATCAACACCCTAATGTATATGGCTGTTAGATAAAACTACTTTTTTCAAAAGAGGATCCAAGTATATGACTTTTTTCTATCGAAGAACCCCTCGATCTGGATTTGAGCATATCACAAAAGCAAAATTCACTACGTAGAAAGTTAATGAGGCGCCCTTCCACTAATTTTGTAGTCAAAAGATATTGAATAAAATACATACATTTGTACAAGCAATTATTTTTATTGATGCATTTTGGAACGAATTTCCGTTATCGCTTGTCAAACTTTTTTTTGGAGACAAACCGGTTTTGACGTTCGGTATCTTTAGTGTAATTTTTCGTTTTTTTTTGGAGTTCGAACAAACGCCAACAGTGTTCGGCCGCCATAAAATATGCTTCTTTTTAGGCACTTAAACATATGCACATACAAATATGTCCACTTACATATGTACATACATACTCGTACATACATAAATTTAGTGTCAACTGTTGAATTAATGAATGAATGAATGCTGTGATTCTACAAAATTAGAATTAGAACAGACACAGCAAGTTTTCGACGACTAATTCAGTTAATGAATACGCCACAAGTATATGCGGCAACAAATTGCTAGACATAGACAACGTCTAATTTCTTGGCCAAGGTATCAACCAAGTGCTACGCATATTTCACCACAAGGCAGCAAGCAAAAAAAGCATAGTGACGTCAATTTCTTCATTTAGCTGGTGGAAAAAAGCTGTTGCTCATTTAAATTTAGCAACAGTGACAATGTGAAATAACGACATAGGTAAGTACATATGTATGTATGCACATTAGGGCGGGTCGAAAACACACAAAATTTTTGATACGAAAATTGTATAGGTCTTAATAATAAGGGAATAATTATTCTTGAAAATAAATCCGGGTTCTCTACGACAATATATTCAGTTTGCGAAATGAGCTTGAAAATTTTAAAATAAGAGCGGGAATACAAATTTTTCAAATTTTTACAATGACTGGTCAAATCCGGAACTTATTTGGTTTCATAAAATCATAAAAAAAAATTGGGCAAGTTAAAAGTAAGTAACATCAATATTTTAATAAATTAAAAGTAGAAAAAATATAAATTAATTGATTAAAATATTGATGCTACTTACTTTTAATTTGCCCAATTTTTTCACGACTTTATAACAGCAAATAAGTTCCGGATTTAATCTACACAAATCGCTGTAAAAATTTGAAAAATTGGTATTCTCACTCTTATTTTCCATTTTTCAAGCTCATTCCGCAGACTGAAGATATTGTCGCAGAGAACCAGGTTTTCTTTTCAAAAACAAGGGAATAAAATAGCACCTATACAAATTTCGTAGTTATAAAAAAATTTTGTGTTTTTGTCGACCCGTCCTAATGTACATAAAGTCCAACGCATTGCAGTGTCTGGTTGAATAAAATGTTTTTTTTTTCGCTTTATAAATTATTGGAGCGTCTGATGTGAGTGAACGATGTAATATTTATACATACTGTGCACATATGTATGTGTGCTGCTGCTTCCAATAAATTGCATACCCACTTCACCTCAAGTGTATGGTAGGTGCTCTATTTAAACAAATGTCCATACTTGAGGTGATCGCTCACTCAATGCCGCTTAACGCTACTAAATAGCTCTTCTTTTAATCGCTACCTGTCTGGCCAACTCATCGACTGTCTGTCTATTCACTTCAGCTTTGCCCATATTTGTATATTAAACACATAAATCGAATCGGGTGTCAAGTTGAGGTTTTTGTCATTTATTCTGTCTCGTTTTTTTTTTGTCTTTTTTACTTTTTGCTTTTGTTTGAGCAAATACTAGAAAATGTTGCATCAGACAATTTTTTGATATAGGAAATTGATGAGCGGTAAAATAGAAATTACTTATGTATGTGTCTTCTAGTCATTGGAAATTGGGAAAAACCATTGAGAAATTTAAGCATTAATTTAAGTTTTTTTAATAGTGTATTTTATTGAAATTTATTTTTAATTATTTCTTAAGATTTATGCGCCCCAATTTTGAATACAGAAAGACTATCGAAAAATAGAAGAAAAACAAGAAAATATACAAAGTAATAAATTAAATCACGAGTTCAACGTGCGTTTAGAAACTGCGACGCGACAATGGATGAGTAATAAAACATATTTAAGAACAAAAAAAAAGTTACAGCATTTTTAGCATCGAATTTTTTATTGTGAATCGTTTTGAAAGGGGTAAGAACTAGAATTATTTAGGTTTCTTTTTCCAAAAACTATACATTTTATTTTTTATTAATTAAAAAAAATATATACATATATATAGATTTTTTAAGCGTTTGGAGATTTTTTAATTTCAAAACAGCGAAAATTATTATAAAAATTAACCGAAAAAGTTCCGAAAACATGGAAAATTTTGGGAATCTCACTGAACAGTCAAAATGTGTGTGAAATATCTTTTTCAAATTTCAGATTCTCAACTTTTTTTTTCAATATGTAATAAATTATTTTTATGTAATTTTTAAAAATAATTTAGCTTCTTTCTTTTTATTTTCTTTACGTGTACGTTTTTCTAATCGACTTTTTACAAAATATGATACCGGGTTTTGGGCAATGTAGCAAAAAATTTCGCAAAAAAAATTTGGTTTTTTATTCTCTTTTATTTCGACATTAATGTTTATTAAATGTTTTAAAATATTAGAATACATGGACATTTTTTTCCTAATTTTTTCATTTTTATATGTATTTTATTGATTTTATAAATTTAAAATTTTACAATTTTAAATATCGGATAGAAAATAAACTAAAAGGGTTATTCGCTTAAACAAGAAACGCGCCGAAAAATCTCGTAACTTTTGCTCACAACATTTGTTTGGAATGCATATTTTTAAATCTATCTATTAAATAAGTGATTTAAAATACGACGAAACTTTTAACATTTTTTAATAAAAGAAATTCGATCTAAATAGTGGTGAATAGATAGATATAAAGCACTCTTGGAGAAATCTAAAATATTTTTTACAAATTTCTGCAGTTCTTTTAATATTTAAAATTTCTAAATTTTAATTTTTTTTTTAAATATTAACCAAACACAAATTAAATTTAAAATATTTGAATGCAAATTTTCTTTTTCACTAATCCCTAATGTGTCCTTAAGATAAATGAAAATTGTAAGTCTTTCTGTTACTTGGAACCTCTAAAATTCTTTTAAACAAGGAAACAAGTGGAATTTTTCTTAAAGCGCTTTTCTAAAAATCAAAATAATTTTTACTCAACGCATCCAATGGCAAATAAATAAAAACAAAGTCAGACTAAATGTCATGGCAGATTCATAATATGTCGAATTTTCATTAGGCCTTGAATGCCCAAAAAGGTATGCGATTTTAGAAATGTCACGTAAAAACGACTTCGAAACTTTTGTAATTGCAGATTCTTTTAAGCTTATGACACGGTTATAATTTATAGCCAAACTTTCTCATACAAATTTTTGTCATTTAAAGTATAGTGGGAATCCGGCATTATATCATTTTTTGAAGCTCTCATTTTTGAATATTAAAATATTTCTAAAGGCATTCGGGGTATTCACAAGGGAATCGTAAGGGTCGTGGTATTGTATGTCTTAAACCTTTTAAGTCTAAAAATATATTTGGGAAGATCATAATATATAATCGTAATCTTAATCGTGTTCTCATTGTTACAAAAGCATTTTGTTGTGCCTTCGAATCTTCTTACGAATTTTATAGTCTTAAATACGAACTAAATACCTCTTGTGAATCACCTAATTTTTCTCTTCTTTCAAATTTTATCTACTCTTATCTTCGTGAATAGATTTATATTTAGTAAATTTATAGAAAATTTAAATATTTTGCTGCACTTTTTTGAATGCAGTTTTGTTACTGCCTCATACATGTTTTGAAATCAATTTAATTACATATTTTTTAAATGACTTTATCATCCCTTTCGCTTTCAACCGCGCCCTTTCTTTCAATACTTTCCCCGAAATCCTCTTTATTTTCTTTTAACAATCATATCTTATCAATTTTCACACTCAAATACTCACATTAAGTTTTTTCTTTTTCCTTCGGTGAATGATTGCAGAATTCAAAAAATTTTCTTCAAGGATGATTTCACTCGTTGCGTTCAGGATAAAACTCTTTTTTCGCTTTTGTTTGCACCAAAAAATTTGGTTTCTCTCACACTCTTTATATCGCTTTTCTTTTCTTTCTCCTCTTTTGTATTCGGCAGACAGACAGTCAGGTAGGCAGGCACTCAGGCAAATGTCGGTCAGCAGCTAATTTGTACGTGTTCACACTTTTCTTAATATTTGATCTTGCGAAACTCCGAAATTAACTGTGCTCGTGTTATGTTATGAATGAATTTATCACCTCTAGATTATGTTGAGTTCTTGATTGTTGATTTGAATTGATTTTCAGTAATAACAATAAATAGCTTTGCGATGACATAGGTCCCCGAATGGACTCCGTTTTGGCAAAGTATATTCGCGCTGTTAACGAAATTTTGCTGCCGTTCCTGTGCACGCTGTGGATCCGTTGATGGGACTCGTTATGTCGCTTTTTCACAAAAAATTCAGGATAACTGATCCGTGAGTGTGTGCTTTGGTGTGGAAAGCTTTAGTGGAAATCAATTTATGGCTCTGGATTATCTCAATTCCAATTCGTTGAAATTAGCGCAGGTTTTTGACAAAGTTTTTGTTTTTTTTTTTTTGCTGGCTGTTTGATTGTTTTATGATTTCATTAAACTCGTTGGCCGATCTTGCTGGGGTTTCTCGTAAGTCTCTCGAGGTTGGTCTTGTGATTCACACTTTTTTCTTGTATGTGTTACAATTTTTTTAAGAGTATTAGATTTTTTTGTTGTTGTTCCTGTTGACACTTAGTCACACGATATACGACACGTTCGATTGCCTTGCAACAGTAAAAAGTGGACATTACAGATTACGTCTTTTGCACGGCAAACAATTGGCGGAAATATAATGCGCTCAATTAAACAAACAAATTTTGAAACATTAACGATCACACGTTTTTCGCGATTGCAATTGAAATTTTATTATTTTTTACTTTGAAATGCTTTAGGCTCAACGAAGAAGCAGATATTTATTAACTTGTAGATACACTTTGGTAACCCTCTAGATCTCAGAAGTTATGTTTTACAGCTGAAAACTGTAACAGAACTGATTGAATTTTCTACCTTCGTTGCAATTTATAGCATTGCTCTCTCCGCTGTTGGCGCTCTGCGACGTTGACGGCGGCACTGCAACGGCGCTGCCAATAGTGTTGGTCGATCAGCGTTCTCCCGCTCTTCTTACTTGAATGTGATTGGTTTACTGTTCGGTAATTGAGTTTGTGGTTTTGGTTTGCTTTGGTTTGAATGAACTTCGTGTGTTTGTCGTGCAGGCGGCGGTGTCGCGTCGCAATGGGGGCATTCCGAAGTAATCGTTTGGCTGTTGGTCTCACTGTCTCACTGCCCCAACGTCGGATGTCGATCGCACTGTGTGACTTGTCGAGCGGCTAACCTGTACATTGGCAAGGCAAGCAGTGTTGCCAACGATTTTTTAATGTTTGTAAAGAACTTGTTCCCCAAGATGGTTTCCCCATGTGGGAGCAGGTAATGTAAAACAAGTTCCCACAGATTTATGTGTGGGGACTAATTTAGAAAACCTATATATGAAGATAATCACCTCAAGATTTCTAGCGAGTAAATCAGAAGAAATCAGACCATATGAGAGGGCGGAAGTACAGTCATGTTTCCTCTAATCGTGGAGGCCTACAAGAAAGCTCAAGTGAAGGCTGATCCCCCGATAAAAAAAAGTCCACGCATGCGGGGAAAGTTTTTTGTGCGCCATTTACTTAAAAGTGGTGAAAAAAGTTTATTATTTTTCGTCCGTTTCAAGCAGCTAACGACTTTCAGTGTTTACACTACTTAAATATTCTCTGGTTATCAACCGAACACGCGTTCGCTAGCGAGCTGATATGAGAAGGCGAACCGCCAGTTATGGATTGTGCTCTAGGCTTGGGAGTCGCCAGGTTAAAAAAGCCACCAATGAAAGAAAGAGTACAGTAGTCTAGCCTGAGTGCTGTATTCTGTATCGTCTATGTGGTGACATCGCCAGCCAAGGATTAATTTTCAAGCCAAGCTTAATTTTCTTGTCGAAGTAAACGGTGTCACTTCTGTTGGTGTGCCTGGGTACGATTCGATACCAAATACTTTAAGCCCCTTTCGCGATAATTGAATTGATGATTCGGATGCGGAAATATCTTCGTATTCTTTCCGCTGATTTTTTTTTATACTTTCAATGCCAACAATCTACTTACCGCGATCCGCTGATTTTTAAATCTAGGTTTACCTTTAAAAATTTGACTTAGCTCAATTGGTAGTATAAATACACATTCACCCTTTCCAAGGAGGCGTAAAACCAACTTTTTGCTATGTGCAATATAATTTTCTTCGTACATTCGTTTTGAGCATATTTTTTGTAGGAAATAATGTCATACCACTTTCTCAGTGAAACTAAGTAAATACAGAGAATAAATCCCCCTATGCAGTGATAATATTTAGGTGGCAACGCCAAAGCATAAATTTGTTCTTTAACAAGAAATAAAATAAATGATTAAGCGACGACAGATCGCTGCGATAGCCGAGCAGTAGTACTCTCTATTTCAAATATACTTATGTATGTACTAAGATTGAGCTGAGCTGAGCGTAACTTATACAAATTTATATATGTACATATATTTATGTCGGTATATTTACATAAATTCATACATACATATGTATATATGTACATATTTATTAACAGAGGCATATATGATATACACATACATACCTACTTACTTAAATACATGTAATCGTCAATTTCTGGAGCTTACGCATATCTCCAACCATCCGAGGCATTGATAAATTTGATAAGGCGTTACTCGCTCTTCAGAGCTACATATAGACATATGTACATACGTCAAGCCGGCTAACTTTTAAGGCCCAGCTACATACATACATACTTATATATGATCATACATATGTATGTACAACTCGTAGAACTTTCGCGTTGCATTCGCTCACGCCTCGTTTTACAGCAGCGCGAGTAGTTAGTCTGTTCTAGTACTCCAGGATTAAGTCAGAATTAGTGCATTTTCTGAAGCAGCTTTTAAAATTGATGTGCCCTTTAAGCACATTTTTTCAGATCAAATTTTTGTTTCAGAATTATATACTAGATTTTACCCAAACAGGGCAAGCTAAATAAAACCGATTAAAATAGGATAGTCCATGAATTTCAAGAATCTGAGACGGCATAATATGAAATATAGACCTCAAAAAAGAAGAAATATTTTTTTATGTGTTATTCCTATGGGAAAAATAAACGATTGATGCGGCACCTTATAGTATTTTGGCAGAGAGGATCATCACCAGCTTAATTGCAAAAAGCCGTTTAACAAAAAGTCCAAAATTTTCGCATTGATTGATTCATCGAATTACAGCTCCACATATCGTTTTATGTAAAAAAAAATTAGTTACGGTTTTCTGTATTTCTGGTGATGATATATACAACATATTTATTAACAGGCATGCACATACCCACACACATATGTATAATTTTAAATTTCTGGCGCTTACGCATATCACCAATCAGGGCCGGATTAAAGCATAGGACGACGTGCCGCGCTCATGGCCCCCACATTGAAGGGGCCCCATGATCATCCATGAGTTGTTTGAAAATCCAAAAAAGTGTTGTCATCTAAATTTCTGGTATAATTTAAAAAAATGTTTTATGCCAGACATCATGCTCGTATACTTTAGTTTCGCTGACGTTGAAAAAAAAAAACGTTATAAAAAGCTTAACATATTTTTGTTGTTCCTTCAAGCTTTTACTTTACTTTTACAAATTTAGCTTGAACTAACTTTCCGGCAAGTCCACGAATAACCGAGACAGTAAATTAGAGGTGTCCATAAATCACGTGATACATTTCGTTGCACTTTTTGATGCCGCCACCCCCCTCGCCCCCTTCACCCCTCACATATCGTTCAATTATGCGTCACTACTGGATACATGGGGGGCATCAGGGCGGAACACGTACAGTTTTCTTTTCTTTGGTGACCGTTAGTTAATTTTTTGCGAACATATTCGTATGTTAGGAAGTAGGATTTCTACGACACTTTCAACCCAACGGTTTTACAATCCTTTCCCGCCCAACCGACACGTAGGGCGCAGTCCTCATGACGTATGGAACTGGTTTTTTGTTAACTTTTTTTGGGTTAAAGAGTTCATTAAAATTATTCGTTGTACAATTTTGTTAGGGGGTCTCGGAAAAATTTAAGCCAATATTTCAAAAAAATCTCGTGATAGAACAAAAGTGAGAATGCAGGTTATTTACATTTAAACACTACTGCATGTCCTCATAATAGTAACATATGTCGATAATTAAAGGAAACGCATTACATTTAATCTATAAGTAATCGCGGTAGGGCCCTCACTTTTCCTCTGGCCCTTGTACACCCCCTCCCATGTTAATCCGGCCCCGGTCTCCAACCATCCAAACCATTGATAATCTGATAAGGCATTGCTCGCTCTTGGCAGCATCAACGCGCCGGCTAACGTTTAAGCATTTTAAAGTGATTTTGTACAACAAAAAAATAGTTAAAAGTAGTTTGGTTCAGTGTTAGTTGGTTGACTGTTTGGCCCTCACTAGTTGTCATAAGAATAATTTCTTTATGAGATATAAAAAAAAAGCTTATGTTAAATGGCGTTGGACAAAACCACTGCTATCCAATTCGTTGATGGGGGTCGTGATTATCCGGCATACTACTAATTACAAAATACTGCTGCCTAACGGGAAACGAGAGTTATTTGCGAATGATGAAGGGAGATGAGGAGGAAAGCAAGACGTAGATAAAAAGAAGTAATAAGAGGAGAGAGACGGAAATACGTGAGTGCGAGGAGCAGTGATTAACTAGTCGACAGAAAAAAATGCGCAACTATTTTATCTGAGAGTTATGCGATTTACTGAAGGCTTGCAGACCCGCGCGAACTCGTGTAAGACCAACCACGGCAATCCAGTGATTGATGTACCCGTGAGGGCAATATTTCTGAGACCAGCGACAATTTTGAACCAGTCACCGCTAGCTTTTGCTTAGGCTGTCTAAATTTGGTATTCCCATTTACCAAAACCCCCAGCAAAGTCAGAATTTGGCAGCAACTCTCCTAGCCGTTCAATACCAAACCAGATTTCAGACGAAGCGACTCGCTATCGTGTGACTTCGTTAATCTGATGGTGTAGTGACATTTTCAAGATAATTATAACTGCAGAACGGAATCGCTAATGAACATATTTTATTAGAGCGTACAATTTTTGACTTATGTCCAAATTCTATTAACACTTATACATAAGTGCCATTTGAAAACCACAACTCGCAATTTAGCCTAAAAAAGAGAAGACACCAAGAAAATAGCAGAAGTTGATTATTTCTCTCAAATCCAGCCGATGGAGGAGAAGAAGGTAAGGAGACCGCGGTAGAAGAGTTTGACAGGAAACCTGATTCTAGTCATACACAGTGCTTGGGCAATTACCCGCTTCTTCTGCATCTGCTTGTGCTCCAGTTTTAGTAGTCTTGCAGCACGGATTACCAGGGCCCAGTGGCCTATGTAAACGGCAGTTAGGCTAGATAAATCTCTCGTGTTAAATTTGATGCGAAATGCAGTGCGTTTTGCGCAGTAGCTGGGCCATAGACACTACGGGATTATAGGACTTTCCTATAGATGCAGCCCTTACAATAGCTCGGAGACACAAGAACCTCTTCTGCCACTGAGACACTCAGCGGGCCCATTTCCTATAGGTAAACAGGTAATGGCTCTGATTAGCTAGCAACAAAAGCTGCAAGAAAATATGAAGTGAAAGACAGTTTTTCTTTTCGTCTGCTCTTCTATTTTGAAGCAAGTTGAGGCACCTTGCGCTACTGTCCTTTGACGACCCACATATGTACATACGTATGTGGCGTGGCGGACGAGATTTAACAGAGCCTCTTAATGGCTTGGAAAAAGAGGGAATGAAATTTCTTAGTGTAGTCGGATTTCACAACTAACCTTCCACTTTAGGCCCAAAAAGTGACGCTGCTTATCAGCAACAGCCACACCTATCTACCTGCTAACTTTCCTACTTACTTATGTAATGATATATGCATTTTAATTACTACATT